TGATCCTAGACAAAATGGGAATGGATAGCGTTCGACTAAAGATGATCAAAGAAATCTGCGACACATGTCGGGAATGTTGAGCATGGGGGCGCCCGGGTAACTCTACGCTACCTTCCGTAAGCCTTCCTGGGAATTGGCTTGACGAAGGCGAAGTAGATCTCATGTTCTACAAGAAACGGACCATATTTCACATTATGGACCGATGTATTCGCCTGGCAACAGGCCAAGACATTCCCGATAGAGAACGTGACACCATACTCGACGCTTACCACTACTGCTGGATCGCCTATCATGGACCCTACAAAGTCTTGTATTCAGATGGAGAAGGTGCCCTCAATAATGAAACTGCCAAGGCCATGATGGCGAACAATGGTACGACACGTCGTATCCGAGCGCCTGGCCAGCACGCGACCTCGATCGAGTCGCGCAATGGCATTCTTAGGGGCACTTTCCACGTGATTGAGGAAGAGCTGAACAGACACAACATCCCCATTGTGTTTACTAGAGTATCGGCCGAAGGCACCTTCGTCACCAACGCTTTCACGTTTTACAACGGAGCATCGCCGTACCAAGCACACACTGGGCGACAGCCCTCCTTTCTCACTGACCTCGACACCCTTGACTTCCCCAGGGGGCCCGAGACGTCAGGCCACGAACGCGAACACCGTGTGAGGGAAGTTAGCCTGGAAGCAATATTTCAAGCCACGGCGGTAGCAAAGACGAATCGTGCTCTCAGGGCTAAGACGGCCCCAGATGGTGCTCGCCTATACTCAGCCGGGGACTTGGTCGATTATCACCGACCCACGGCCACCATGGAGGCTGGAATGGCCCGTTTCCTGTGATTCGTAACGTGCCCGAACGAGGACACGTCGTCGTCAAGGCGGGATCGCGTGAGGTAATTGTAATGTATCCTGATGCTCGCCACACGCTATACATTGAATGCCTTCTGACCAGGGAACTTGGCATGGGCAACATGGCCATGCAAACCGTCCTTACATATGTGGCACACCTTGGTGCAGGGAAACCTGCCAAAGTCTTTGGCTATATTCCAGACTACAAGGGGAACCTCAATCTTTCCGACGACAGCAAGTTTCACCCGCGCGTGCACCTTGCACTGCAGTATCTCGTGCGAAGCTATTTCCGAGTTGAACGTGTAGTAGCCGTGAGGTTAGCCAAGAGCGTGTTCAATCTACCTGCAGTAAAGTACGCCACCGGGTCTACACTCATCCACTACGACAACGATGTTAACCCAGCCTTCCACTATTACGAGTGTGTAGGCACTGGGCTGAACATCTCTCAAATCACTGGTAGCACTCACTCCAGACTCATCCAGTGCCTGACGTCACAAGTTCCTTCCCTAGGATTTCATGACGACCTTGCCAAGTATCAACACTTGGGCACACCGTCTGGAGAACACGACCAGCCTGGCGACAGGCCTCCTCCAGACACCCCAGGTGTTTCATCACCAAGTGAAGGTCGCCTGTCTACAATCTACGAAGAAAGCGAGGAACACGACGTTGAGGCTATGATGATGGAGGAGTGGTGCGATGAGTTACGTATGGACCTTCATCCCACAACGGTTATCGACGACTATCTCTACTGCGTCCCAACAACCATGCTGCCCGACCAATGCGTCTTGGTCTCAGCATCTGTGGACGAGGAAGATACCGTAGTGTCGGAGCTGCTCGAAGACGAGCCTGAACTACGAGAGCCCTGTCTTGTCTCTTTATGCTCGACTACACCTGACGAGGGCCATTCTCTTGACAGTGATGGGCACGTTCCCTATGTTGAGCTATGTTTCACACCAGAAATGTCAAATATCGTGTTGGACCAGACCCAACTTGCACAGCTCGAACCAGACATGGTCGCAACGATGAGAGTACATGTATCATCGGCTGCTAAACGTGCAATGGCAGGCAAGGAAGACGACCTACTCACCAAAGCCGACAGAGCAGCACATCCTAAAGAGATTAGTGAAGCCTTCTACACCGAACTCAAGATCTGGCTGGACAACCGATGTTTTTAGATGCATGATCTATCAAAAGCTCCCAGCATCATGACATCCAGATATGTATACAAGTGGAAGTTTGTGAAAAGTAGACACCGAGCATGTTAACACTACCCGTCTTAGATTTGTCTTCCGCGGATTCATGAGCACGTAGGCTTTCGATGCAGAAACCCTCTCAGGAATTGCCCGCAGACAGTCGCAGAGGATTCTGGCAAGTGAGGCGGCATGTCATCCATAATGGATCTTAGCATCTATGGACATCGACAAAGCGTTCCTCAAAGGACTGACATATGAGGAACTTGCTCGCGCCACTTGCGAGGGGACTCGCATGGTTTGCTTCGCCCTTCCACCAGGAAGTGCCCAGGTGCTTCGCGCACTACCAGGCTTCTCTTCTTACGATGAAAAGCCGACACTGCCTCAGGTGCCTCAAGCCAGGAACGGGTGCAAAGGACGCCCCAAGAGCGTTCTCCCGCAAGCTTCGCACGACTACACGGGCTATAGGCCTTACACCGACAAGTTACGATCCTGAGTTTGAATTCGGTCAGGATCTGTTAACGGCAAAACATGTCGACGACATCAATATGACAGGCCTAGAGAAAACGTAGATGGCTATGTACAACGCGTCGAAAAAGGTGTTTGGTAAATGTATGCGCAACAAACATTATTACACGACTTGCGCCGTTCGCTACACGAGGAACGAACAGGGGTATGTGATCATGGACCAGGACGAGTATATTAAACAACTACGTCCTATCACACATCCTGAGCTCACGGGAGCATCGGCAGACGCCAAAGCTACCACACTCATCGCCGACATGTTGGTTAGCCTGCGAGGAGCTCTCGCCTATGCCCTTCTTACTCAAGTCTGGCTCATGGTGTATGTGGTCTCTCTCCAGAAGATCCAAGAGCCCACCAACTTACAAGTCATGCGACTGAATGCTGTGACGCGAAAGCTGGTCAGCAGCCCGAAACGCATCACCTTCCCTCGGATGAAACCGACGAATGAAGTAGACATACATAGTGGTTCGGGGTATCGGAAATTTACCGGGGAGGAGGGCGATGAAACCACGGGCTACGGTATTCGTGGGGCTAACGTATTACGGCGAGGAAACTCGCCCCAAGGCAAATCCGTTGTTCACCTTTGCGACGGACTATGCAAGTCACACCGACTGCAGGTGAGGTCCAGCTATGCCGCTGAGGCACTTGCAGCTGCGCATGATCTTGATGAGTGCTATCCCACGCTCATCGCTCTCCACGAGCTCAAGACTGGAGCACTTACCCCGCGACAACTACGAGATATGCGTGAAGTTGGAGGCCTAGCTATCAAAGTATCCCTTACTATAGACGCTGAGTCTGTATACACATCGTTATCCAGCAAAGACCTTCAGATACCGACAAAACGTACTTTGCTGGGACATATCAGCTGGATACGTGAGCTCATGGATATAGGTATAGTGCATAACGTACAGTGGTGTGACACTAGAGACATGACCGCAGACGGGCATGCAACGGGGAGTATCGATCGGGAGCTGCTTTTGGAAGTGATGTCAGGCACTCAGTCATTTAAGTATGACGTGAAGCAGTTTGTTCCCTTTCGGGGCCCCGAGGACAAAACCAAACCTATGTCGAATCAATTTTGGTCTGTCCTTGTTGCCCCTGCGGTCCAGTTTGCCAGCGCGGGCGCCTAATGCAGAGGCGCCCTTTTACTTGCTCGGAAACGAGCCATATTTTCACGCTTGGCAACGAGCCTGTTCAGATTGGTTCAGGCTCTTTGCCTTAATAGCCTTCTGCCCGGAGGGGAATCGCCTGTTTGGTTTACCTCTAGCCGGGCCGATAGCCCTCGTTTATTCAAGGGGCTATCTTACGTGTGCGTGGACAAGTTTTGCGAGGAAATTCGCAGGCGAAAAATCTCGCCCCTCAGTCTGGTGGTTGACCAGACTGCGCGTGCTGTTTTCCTTGCAAACAATTGCGCGCGCGGCCTTTCCAGAGTCTAGCGACTGCGCGGCTTTGCATTCCGTCCCCTCCCCTCCCGACTTTAAGGGTGGCTTTTTGGGAGATGTTATAGAGGATCGGGAGTATAGCCTGCGCGTCGCTGCCTTATGGCTCAAGGTACGCGCGCCCTATTTGCCCGGACACTGACCTTAGTGTTCGCTATGTGTTGGAAAGATCACTACATCGATCTTATCCTATCTTACCCATCCACACCCCATATCGTATTCCTTCGACATGGAATTTGATGTTGTATGACCTGCCAGAGTCATTTCAGACTCACTACTCGCAAAGGTATCAACTCGCAAACGTCAGGAAAAAATGTGTGTCCTCGATGTATTGGATCGTAAATCCCTCGCAGCGGATCCGGGGCATTTGCGAGCGGTTTCTTTGCGAGTCGTGGAACGCGCTTGTCCAGAACTCGTTGGTGGGCGGGGGTAGGGTTCGCACGCGTGGCCACCTATACAACCTGGGGGGGGGGCCTTCGACGCCGCGCCGACGGCGTGCGGCGTGCGGCGTCGGGCCGTGGCCAGGAAGGGGAAACCTTGGCTCCGCGGAGGGTGCCGTTTCGAGGCGCTGGGTGGTGCCAGGGCCCGATGTGGAGGAGGCTCGCACGGGGCGCGTTTTGCCGAGGAGGGCTCGGGCGGAGTGGTGGACCCAGCTGGGCCTCGTTGGCAGACTTCGACTGCGCGTAAGGAGTGGCCCTTCGCTGGGGTGGCCTTCATAAATGCAGGGCCGCCTGCGATCCGATTCGATGCGATTCGATTCGCTGGCTGGGGCCGCGATTTCGGTTCGAGTCGAGTTGGCTCGGCTCGCTGGCATCGGCCAGGGCCAACTGGAGCCAGGCTCGGCGATCTGATTTCGATTCGATTCGGAACGATTCGCTGTCGATGCGATCCGTTTCAGTTCCGATCGGATCTCGCGGTTCGATTCGGCTCAGTCGTGCCTTGGGCGCGGGCTCACTGGAGTCCCCCGATCGCTGAGCGCGAGGCGGCAGTGGCGTCTTGCGCGCACGGGCTCGCCAACCCCCCCCCGCGGCCACCAAAAGCCGCGCACCACGAGGTCGCTCCTTTCCCAGGGTCGCTCTTGCGTGTAGTCAGACAGAGCAGCTTCCGAAGCCGGTTTTGGTTCAAGGCAGTTGGCGCTCGAGGCGTCCTGGCGCGCAGCGTATAATCAGCTCTGGGTGTCGCCGGCTGTGCGCCGGGCCAGACGGCTGCGCGCCCTCCGCGCGTGCCAGCACGCGCGGAAGCGTGCACCGCACTGGCCCGCTGCGCGGTCGGCGTCGTCCAACCAGTCGGCACGAGTCGAAGAAGAAAAAACGACACAAACATAATTTTTTGGCGCTTCGCGCAGATTTCTTGGATCTGCGCTGGGCCCCTCCGGCGGCGCCTCCGGCGCCGCCCCTGGCGCGCTCCGCGCGCCGGGGAGGGAGGTCCAGCGCAGATCCAGGAAGTCCTCGCGGAGCGCCCGAAGCTTTTATGTGCATGGCGTCCTCTCTTTTTCGAGCGAGAGATGGCGGCACCAAGGCGTACCTCCTGCCTCCTCAGCGCCGCGCTGCTCAGCGCCGGCCTCCTGCTGGCCCTGCAGGGCAGCACGGCCTTCGTGCCGGCCGCCGCGCGCGGCGGCCCCTCGGCCGAGGCAGTGGCCCTCGGCCTGACCGCGCCCGCGCTGCTGGGCGCGTCGGCCGCGGTCGCCGGGGAGCCGCCCAGCGTCGGGGACCACTGGTACTGGGACCTCGGCTCTCGGGTGACGAGAACTACCCTGAGCTCCCGGCGGCCTCCTTCTGTCGAGCCAGGCGTTGTCGCTCGACTTCGAGCCCCGGGGCCCGCGCAGCTCGATCCGGTTCGAGAGATGACGCCAGAAGCTGGGGTCCGGGGTTCCTGTCGTTTTTTTTTGTTTTTTGTTGTTTGTTTTTTTGTGTTGTTTTTTTTCTTCCCCCCCCAATCAGAGCTTGCCTCTGTAGGGGTCTTAGCGGATTAAAGGATTAGGTGAGAGGTGCGGCCGATTTCGGTGGCCGGGCCCGGGTTCCCGGGGGTGCCCGGGTGCCCGGGTGGCCGGTGAGGTGCGTGGCCGATTTCGGTGGCTGGGCCCGGGTGCCCGGGTGCCCCGGTGCCCGGGGTGCCCAATAGCCCAATAGCATATAGCCCAATAGCCCAATAGCCCTATAGCCCTATAGCCCAATAGCCCTATAGCCCCATAGCCCTATAGCCCTATAGCCCTATAGCCCTATAGCCCAATAGCCCAATAGCCCAATAGCCCAATAACCCTATAGCCCTATAGCCCGATAGCCCCATAGCCTTCTAGCCCTATAGCCCTATAGCTCTACAGCCTTATAGCCCTATAGCCTTACAGCCCAATAGCCCAATAGCCCAATAGCCCTATAGCCCTATAGCCCTATAGCCTCATAACCTTATGGCTTTATAGCCCTACAGCCCCATAGCCCCCCCAAAAAATGGATTGGGGTTTTTCTCCGGTCTCATCCTTTTTTTTGCGATGGCGCATTTTTTTTGCAACGTCGGATCTCAGGGTATGCACATGCACCGATCTTGGCGAGGCCCCTCCTGGGCCCAGGATCGGTGCCCGTGTCTCCCTGCCGAGGGCGCATGCACCGATCCTGGGCGCAGGGTGGGCCAGGCCAGGATCGGTGCATGTGCACAGCTCTCTTGCCGCTACGCTTAAGTCGGGCCTGTCCCTCTACAGGGGGGATATCCAAGAATAGTAGCAAAATGGTCTGGGGACTGTTTTTTTTTTTTTTTTTTTGTTGTTTGTTTTTTTTGTTTTTAGTATTTTTCGACCATTTGGGAGTATTTTTGGGGTATTTTTTTATGTTTCGTCGAAAATCCCCCTGTAGGGGGACGCGCCCGACTCAACTCTAGGCTTCGGCTCCCTCCACGGCGAGACCGCGTCCATCATCCTGCTGGTCTTCTTCCTCTACCTCGGCTTTGCGCTCATCGGCGCCGGCGGCTCGTCCAGGAAGGCCGCGTGAGCCGCGACGGACCGGCTTCTACGGTCTCGCGGCGTGAGGTCCCCCCTCCTCCGCGGCGGGAGGGGGCGCGGCCGGCCAGCCAAATGGCGACGCTTTTGTGTGCGCCATGAGTTTAGCAAGAAAAGACCCGCCGTCCAGACCTGATGGCGACTCGAGAAAATCACGCCCGGACTTGTTCGCCCAGAGGGCCGTTTCCGGGCTCCAGGACAGTCAAACAACGTCTCGGGATGAAAGGTTGACCAGGGGGGTCGGGATTTTTTTTGTGGAACAAACACGACGTCGGAGGTGTAGGGAGTCATAAGGTTAATGTGACCTTCGCCGATGCTCTCATATGTCCGAGATGGTGGTTGGCCAGTGCTGGCGTGGATGGGGTCAGACGTAGGGAGTAGTAGCAGACGACAGAAGGACTTCAAGGGAGAGTATGAGTAGGATGATGATGGGAACGAGGATGAGGATGAGGATGAGAACGAGGATGAGGGTGAGGAGGATGCTTATGATGAGGATGGTGATGCTGATGACAATGATGATGCTGCTGATGCTGATGATGGTGATGATGATGCTGATGCTGATAACGATGCTGATAACGATGCTGGTGGTGGTCATGATGCCGCTGATGATGACGATGACGATGATGATGATGATGATGATGATGATGATGATGATGATGATGATGATGATGATGATGATGATGCAGATGATGCAGATGATGATGTTGATGCCGATTGTGAGGATAATGATCATAATGATGTTGCGCATGATCATACTTCGGATGATGCTGATGCTGATGATAATGGTGATGGTGCTCAGGACGAGGATGCTGCTGCTGATGTTGCTGATCATGATGCTGCTGCTGATGATGATGAGGATGATGACGATGATGATGATGATGATGATGATGATGATGATGCGGATGCTGATGCGGATGCTGATGCTGATGATGATCCTTGTGATGATGATGACGATGACGATGCTGCTGCTGATGATGATGATGATGCTGCTGCTGATGATGATGATGATGATGATGGTGGTGGTTGGGGTGGTTGGTGGTGGTGATGATGATGACGAGGATAAGGATTTGCTGATGATGATGATGGGGATGATGAGGATGCTGATGATGATGCTGATGATGACGATGATGACGATGATAATGACGACGATGCTGATGCTGCTGATGATGACGATGTTGATGATGATGAGGATGAGGATGAGGATGATGATACAAAGGATACTGATGAGGATGAGGATGCTGCTTCTGCTGATGATGATGAATTGTGATGATGATGATGATGATGATGGTGATGCTGATGATGATGATGCGGATGAGGATGAGGATGATGAGGATGATGATACGAATGAGGGTGAAGATGCTGATGCTGATGCTGATGCTGATGCTGATGATGATGATGTTGACGCTGGATCTGATGATGATGGTGATGCTGATGCTGATGATGCTCATACTGATGATGATGATGATGATGATGATGATGATGATGATGATGATGATTATGATGATGGTGAGGATTAGGATGATGATGATGATGACGACGAGGATGATGATGGTGATGATGATCAGGCTGCTGATGATGAGGATGATGATGAGGAGGAGGGTGAGGAGGGTGCGGATGATTATGAGGATCCGGATGCTGATGATGATGATGTTGATGATGCTGATTCAAATGCTGATGCTGGTGCTCATGCTGATAGTGATGCTTATCGTGGTGCTCATGGTGCTGATGATGCTGATGATGCTGGTGAGGGTGATTCTGATTATGCTGATGATGCTGGTGATGCTGATTATGTTCATGATCATGCTGCTGCTGATCTTGATGCTGATTATGCTGATGATGCTGATGATGGTGATGCTGATGATGAAGCTGATGATGCTGATGATGATGCGAATGCTGCTTATGCTGATGATGGTGATGATGCTGATGCTGATGCTGGTGCTGATGCTGATGATGCTGACGATGCTGCTGATGATGATGATGATGATGGTGCGGGTGAGGATGAGGATGCGGATGATGATACTGATGATGATGCTGATGATGCTGATCATGATGATGATGAGGATGAGGATCATGATGCTGATGCTGTTGTTGATCATGATGATGATGATGATGATGATGATGATGATGATGATGGTAATGCTGATGCGGATGTTGATGCTGATGATGATGATGAGGATGAGGATGCCGATGCTGGTGATGATGATGATGGTCTGATCATGCTGCTGATGATGCTGATTATGTTGATGATTAGAATGATGATGCGGATGAGGATGAGGATGATGATGCTGATGATGATTATGATGAGGATGCTGATGATGCTGATGATGCTGATGATGATGATGATGATGCTGCCGCTGATGCTGATGATGATAAAGCTGCTGATTACGATGATACTTTTGACGATGATGATGCTGATGATGATGATGATGAGGATGCTGATGCTGATGCTGGTGCTGATGCTGATGATGATGCTAACGATGATGATGATGATGATGATGATGATGATGATGATGATGATGATGATGATGATGATGATGATGATGAGGATTATGGTGCTACTAATGCTGCTGATGCTTGATTCCGGTGATGATGATGATGATCATGAGGATGAACATGATGCTGCTGATGATGACGTTGCTGATGATGCTGCTGATGATGCTGCTGCTGATGATGCTGATGATGATGATGATACTGCTGCTGATGATGATGCTGATGATGAGCATGATGATGAGGCTGATGATGAGCATGATGATGAGGATGATGATGGTGAGGCTGCGGATGAGGATGATGATGCTGATGAGGGTGAGGATGATCAGTATGCTAAGGATGATGCTGACGCTGATGATGCTGATGATGATGAGGATGTGCATGAGGAGGAGCATGCGGATGATGATCATTATGGTGGTGATGATGTTGATGATGCTGATTATGATGATGAGGTTTATGATGCTGATGATGATGGTGAGGACGAGGAGCCAGGATGTCGATTCTGATGCTGATGATGATGCTGTTGATGATGATGCTGCTGCTGATGATAATGATGCGGATGAGGATGAGGATGGTGATGATGATGAGGATGAGGATGCCGATGATGATGATGATGATGCTGATGATGATGATGATGCTGGTGACGAAGATGATGATGATGATGATGCTGATGCTGATGATGATGCTGATGATGACGCTGATGATGCTGATGGTCATTCTGATACTGACGCTCATGATGATGCTGATGATGATGCTGATGATGAGGATGCTGATGATGCTGATGCTAAGGGTACTGATGCTAATGGTGATGATGACGATGATGATGATGCTGATGATGATATGTATTAGGATGCGGATGATGCTACTGCTTCTGATGATGATGCTGATGATGATGCTGATGCTGATGCTGATGCTGATGATGATGCTGCTGATAAAGCTGCTGATGCTGATGAGGGTGAGGATTTGCATGAGGGTGGGGATGAAGATGCTGATGGTGATGAGGATTATGGTAATGGTGGTGCTGATGATGCTGCTGATGATGATGAGGATGATGATGCTGATGATGATGCTGCTGATGATGATGGTGGTGATGATACTCATGTTGACGAGGATGAGGATGATGGTGATGATGATGCTGATTAGGATGATGATGATGCTGATGCTGATGGTGATGATGATGCTGATGATGATGATGCTGCTGATGATGATGAGGATGCCGTGGATGATGATGAGGATGACGACGCTGCTGATTTTGCTGATGATTTTGCTGATGCTTATGATGGTGATGTTGATGCTGGTGATGTTGATGAGGATGCTGATGCTGATGATGGGGATGATGATTTTGATGAAGATGATGATGCTGATGCTGATGATGCATAAGCGGATGAGGATGATGATGCTGGTGATGATGCTGATGATGCTGATGATGATGATGCTTATGCTGATCTTGATGGGCTTATTCTGGCAGGGCCCCTATTCCCATCAGTTGGGAAATTCGCAGATTCCAATCCTTGGGTCTTACGCAAAACAACGTATGCGGATCTTGATGATGACGATGAGGATCTGATGATGATCCTGATGCTGATGATGATAACGATAATGATGCTGATGACGATGCGGCTGATGATGATGAAGATGATGATGCTGATGCTCATGCTGGTGATGCTGGTGCTGATGATGATGCTGGTGCTGATGATGATGATGATGATGATGATGATGATGATGATGATGATAATGATTTGATGATGATACGGGTGATGCCGATGCTGATGCTGATGATGAGGATGATGCTGATGATGATAATGCTGATGCTGATGATGATTATGATGATGATGATGCTGATGATGATGATGATGATGATGATGATGCTGATGATGATGATAACGTTGATGATGTTGCTGCTGATGATGCTGCTGACGATGATGATAATGATGCAAATGCTGATGATGATGATGATGCTGATGGTGATGATGATGCTGATGCTGGTGCTGATGATGATGCTGCTGATGCTGCTGATGATGACGATGATGATGATGATGTTGCTGTTGATGATGGTGTTGCTGATGATGATGATGCTGATGATGATTATGATGACGATGATGACGATGATGTTGGTGCTGATGATGGTGCTGACGCTGATGGTGATGCTGCTTATGCTGCTGATGATGCTGATGATGGTGGTGATGATGATGCTGATGATGATGGTGATGACCATGATAATGATGTTGCTGCTGCTGCTGATGCTGATGCTGATGCTGCTGATGATGATGCTGATGGTAAGGATGCTGCTGCGTCTGTTGATGATGATGCTGATGATGAGGCTGATGATGAGCATGATGATGCTGATGATGATCAATGTGATGCTGATGATGATGCAGATGATGATAGCGCTGATAATGATGCTGCTGATGAGGATGATGATGAGGATACTTATGAGGATGATGCTGATGATGATGCTGATGATGATGCTGGTGATGATGAGGATTGTCATGCTGATGATGGGGATGATGAGGATGATGATGATGATGAGGATGAAGATGACGATAATGGTTGAGGATGATGCTGCTGCTGATGAGGATTTGATGAGGATGAGGATGAGAATCATGATGAGGATGATCATGCTGATGCTGATGCTGATGCTGCTGCTGATGATGATGCTAATGAT